CAGTGATCAGTGAAAAATTCTATATGCTGACACTGTACTAATGGAACTGGCTGGGTGACGGAGTGATCAAAGGGTTAATAGGGGTGATCAAAGAGTTAAATGTGCTAATCTAACGTGTAAAATGTAGTGCTTTTACTCAGTGCCATGTTCATTCTTCTCTTCTTGGATGGCATAGGGGGCAGCGGGGGATGCACACATGCGCACGCATACCCGGAAATAGAAAGCATTGTAAGATTATGTTGCTTTGTCGCACATTGTTGGCGAGCAAGCGGCAAGTAAATTTAAAAAATAATTTCTCTCAATTTTTTAAAAAAACATATTTTATGTTTTTTAAAACATTATTTTCCTTTTACTATTTTTTTCAAATACTTTCATCAGAGTAGTAACATTGTACTATAGGAGGGTGATCAGGGATTTTTTTTTTTTTTTACACTTTGCATTGCATGAGCAATGAGGATTATTGCTCTGCAATGCAAAGCTTGCTTTGAACTGTCATGAATGTGTTAAGTTCATGACAGTTCAAAATACAGTGATCTGTGATTGGCTCCAGCTGGTCACATGGTACAAGGTGCTGTGATTGGCCCCATGTGCCATATGAGAGTTGTGGACCAATCACAGCTCCCCAGGAACAGAAGCAAAGCGTTTACGAATCAGATTGATTCATAAAAGCTTTGTCATTGTGATCATGTGATCGCACAGCGATCACATGATCACCAAGTCCCGATTACAGGGATTCTCATTCTGCTGTGTCCGGCGGAGATAGCGGACGTGGGGGGTGTGCTGGCTGCATTCTGCTCCCATGAGCAGCAGGTTGTAGTTCTGGTGTCCTCCAGAGGGTGCATCCCAACAGTCAGCAGATCCGAGTAATCAGTTTCAACCTGATGCTGGCTGCTGAGAGGGTATTTAGGTCCTCCCCTACTAGTGCCTCTTGCTCCTGTGTTTTACTGCTGCCAGATTCTGTTTGCCATTTATCTTGGACTTGCTCCTGCCCCTGCTGGCTTGTATCTGATCCCAGTTCTGGTTCCCCCTTCACATCTACTCCCTGCACCTACAGTTTGCCCCTGCTTTTCTATGTACCCCCATTTTGTATATATTATATATACTGTAGTTCGATAGCTGTTTGTTGCTAGGTATTCTGTCACTGGGTTTTTGGTTCATTTATGTTTATGTTTGCTGTGTGCTTGTGTTTGGATGGATTCTGGTTTACTGTAAATAAATCTAACTTCAGAGCTGGTTCACATATATGCGAATTGGATGTGTATTGAACCGCATCCAATTTGCATGACATGTGAAATAACAGTGCTTTCTCTTGTGCCTGTTCACACAGGGGCATCCCTAGGGTTGGTGTCACCCCTCCGACAATCCCCGCAGGATGGATCGGATCTGCGGATTGAGCATAATGGATCGGAGTCCGATCCATTATGCTCCCCAATCCGCAGTTCTGATCCATCTTGCGGGGATCGTCGGCTTGCAAACTATACGAGGTCTTCACATGCTCGAGAAGTGATGTCAGATGGAGGAGGTTCCAGCTATCGCAGCCGCATTTCCTGATTACAGACAAGTCCCGGATTTTGCACAGCCTTACCTACTGTAGATCAGTTAACCCGTATAGGTTGCAAGCTGAAGATCCCCGCAAGATGGATCGGATCTACAGATTGGGGAGCATAATGGATCAGACTCAGATCCATTATGTTCAATCTGCAGATCTGAACCATCTTGCAGGAATTGTCAACTTGCTTTAAAACTTTCCTTTTCGTGGAGCTCGTGCAGAGGGTCCGGGGTCACCCTGTGCGATAGGTGTCACCCGGTGTGGCGCGTACCCCCCGCACACTCCTAGGGAAGCCACTGTGTTCACATATGTCTGGTGCAGCCTGAGTGTGGATTCAGTGCAAAAAAAAAAAAGAGTCCTGCCAGTTTTCTAAGCAGTGCGGTCAGGTTCAGGTGCAGATTCAGGCTCATTTACTAATATGGAAACCACTTCTGAATTGTACATGTCATCAGTTTTTGAACATGATTTCAGCATTCTTTCTTACATTGTAGAGATCATCCATTACATCAGCTACATTGGGGCAAAAAAGTATTTAGTCAGCCACCAATTGTGCAAGTTCTCCCACTTAAAAAGATGAGAGAGGCCTGTAATTGGTATCATAGATAGACCTCAACTATGAGAGACAAAATGAGAAAAAAAATCCAGACAATCACATTGGCTGATTTGGAAAGAATTTATTTGCAAATTATGGTGGAAAATAAGTATTTGGTCACCTACAAACAAGCAAGATTTCTGGCTCTCACAGACCTGTACCTTCTTCTTTAAGAGGCTCCTCTGTCCCTGCACTCATTACCTGTATCAATGGCACCTGTTTGAACTTGTTATCAATATAAAAGACACCTGTCCACAACCTCAAACAGTCACACTCCAAACTCCACTATGGTGAAGACCAAAGAGCTGTCGAAGGACACCAGAAACAAAATTGTAGACCTGCACCAGGCTGGGAAGACTGAATCTGCAATAGGCAAGCAGCTTGGTGTGAACAAATCAACTGTGGGAGCAATAATTAGAAAATGGAAGACATATAAGACCACTGATAATCTCCCTCCATCTGGGGCTCCACGCAAGATCTCACCCTGTGGGGTCAAAATGATCACAAGAACAGTGAGCAAAAATCCCAGGACTACACGGGGGGACCTAGTGAATGACCTGCAGAGAGCTGGGACCAACGTAACGAAGGCTACCATCAGTAACACACTACGCCGCCAGGGACTCAGATCCTGCAGTGCCAGACGTGTCCCCCTGCTTAAGCCAGTACATGCCCGGGCCGTCTGAAGTTTGCTAGAGAGCATTTGGATGATCCAGAAGAGGATTGGGAGAATGTCATATGGTCAGATGAAACCAAAATAGAACTGTTTGGTAGAAACACAACTCGTCGTGTTTGAAAGAGAGAGTGGCATCAAAAGAACACCATACCTACTGTGAAGCATGGGGTGGCAACATCATGCTTTGGGGCTGTTTCTCCGCAAAGGGACCAGGACGACTGATCCATATACAGGACTGAATGAATGGGGCCATGTATCGTGAGATTTTGAGTGCAAACCTCCTTCCATCAGCAAGGGCATTGAGGATGAAAAGTGACTGGGCCTTCCAACATGACAATGATCCCAAACATACCGCCCGGGCAACGAAGAAGTGGCTTCGTAAGAAGCATTTCAAGGTCCTGGAGTGGCCTAGCCAGTCTCCAGATCTCAACCCCATTGAAAACCTTTGGAGGGAGTTTCTTTCCAAATCAGCCAATGTGATTGTCTGGATTTTTTTTCTCATTTTGTCTCTCATAGTTGAGGTCTACCTATGATGCCAATTACAGGCCTCTCTCATCTTTTTAAGTGGAAGAACTTGCACAATTGGTGGCTGACTAAATACTTTTTTGCCCCACTGTATCATTATCCCTATCATAATCCCAGAAGAAATACTACTTTTCTGTTGTTTAAACACCTGGGACTATCACGATACCATTCTTAATCAAATAAACATATCTGTCGTCTTATAAAAATGTGTTCCATTTATTACATATTATTTCAATATAAGACAATATTATTAAAACAAAGGACCTAGGCATAACAGATAACACCCAAATATATGATGTTTCAAAGAACCCCCCATCCCCTAGATTTGACACAATCTGCAGTATCTTCTCTTGCAAGTAAAGTGATACAAGTCCAGGAATTTTGGTAGGATATTTAAACCATATCTATTGTCATAATGTAAAATTATATATTCATTTCCACATTGTATTGTAATTATTTCTAGCCTATCGCCATAAATCTGAACAATTTTGGAATCTGTAAATGTACTTAATAAAGATCCCACACATTTACTCCCTTGACTTCTGTGACACATATTCACTATGTCCTGTGAGTAGCACTGCTGTGTCACAGAGTTCATGGAACCTGCCTTCTGAGTTACAGAGGTGCTGAGAGAAGGAGTCCCAGGAGGTGGAGTCAGTAAAGGAGTCACTGGTTGGAGGCAGCAAGGTACCATGAGATATGTAGTCCTTAGAAATTACAGTAAACAGCAGGGGAGAAGCTGCAAAGCATGCAGGCAACCAGGATGTTATGAAAAAAGAATAGCAGCAGATATGCAGAACTCACAACACATGAAAGAGGATTTTGAAAGTAAGTTTATATTGTAAAATATAAATATTGTTTGTTTTGTTCTTACAATGCTAATGTCATGGATGAAATTGGAAGCTGAGACTATAGATTTCCTTTAAAGAAAAAAGTTAAAAAAGGTTCAAAACCTGATTGTGTACAAAATCTCAGTGCCAGTTCATTTGAACTGCATCCAATCCGCATGAATTGAAATAACATTGCTTCCTATGCTGCCTGTTCACATATGCCCAGTGCACTGGAGCTGTGGATTCAGTGCGGGTTCACTGCAGTTTGAAAAAGAGTCCTATACGGTTTTCTGAGCAGTGTGGTCCGGTTCAGATTACAGGCTACTGACTTCTTTGTGAACCGTTTCCAAACTGCACATGTGTGAACAGGATAAAATCCTGACCTAATCCTATCCTGAAGCTGATGTAAATCTGAGATGAACCTGTGAACAACTACTGTGTCAATTAGCTTCGAAACCTGAGCTTCAATCCGAACCTTCAATCCACACCACACACGTGTGAATCAACAATGGGGAAGACAATTTTTATATACTGTACCTACCAAGAACTGATTTGAAGTCCTTGAAGATTGTAGGAAGCTAGATAGACAAATCAGACATTCTGGCAGACCAAAGGACACAAAACGAAATTAAAACTTGATTTAACCACTTGCCCTCCAGAGGATTTACCCCCCCCCCCTTCCTGACCAGGCCAAAAATTAAAAAATCTAATTTCACCATAAATGTAGGCCAAAGTGTATTCTGCTACATGTCTTTGCTAAAAAAAACAAAAAAAAACAATATATACTGGAATTTTAGTTTTTTTTACTAGTAATGGCGGCAATCCAGTGACTTATAGCAGCACTGCGACGGGCATTCTGACACTGAGTTGGGACTGACTTGATGTCACTGACATCCCCAGTGACACCAATACAGTGATCACTGTTAGTAAAAAGCACTGACACTGTACTAATGGCACTGGGCAGGAAAGGGTTAACATCTGAGGCGATCAAAGGGTTAACTGTGTGCTGTTGTGCTGTGTGTGTGCTTTACTCTGCAAGCACACTGCTATGTATGGCTCTGCTGTACAGAGCCATACAAAGCAGTGTGCAGGAGCTGACAGGGGAGAGATGTGTTATTTATACAAAGGTCTCTCCCCCGTCTGTGATACTTGGCAATCCACAGGTGCCAGCGAGGAATCACCGGCCGGGACCCTTTGACAGTCGAGGCAGTGAATGGCGGTGCAGATAAGGCGCGTGCGGAAGCAGTTAAACATCAAGTAAATAATGAAAATCTGGAAAACAGACATTTTTCTAGGAAGTCAGGGACCAATAATGAATTTGCATCACAGGAGACCTTACTTCCAAAACACCAAGTCATACAGAAATCAACAATGGAGTCAATTTGTGAAACATGCTCTAGAAAGAAGATAGGCTACATTCACACAGATTGCTAAATTTATTTTTCTTTTTTTTTTTCCTTAGACTTGGTTCACACTATTGCGGGCTCTGTGGTCCTTGTTTGCTCAAGCACCACAGCCTATTCATTTGAATGGGCTGCTGTGCCCGTGTTTCTGCACATAAAAGGTACATACATCTTTTTGAAAATGCGGCCCGCAGGGAAACCACATGGTCTTTTTGACCATGCAGTTTCCCTGATATTCCAATTGCACTGTGGGCTGAGATGCGTGGGGTGCCATTCAGAATGAATGGCAGCCCTGTGCGTCTCACAAGAGCTGCATGATTGGGCTGTGGGTGGTTGAGGGTTTGGTAACAGGTACGATTCCCACACCCCCAACTGTAAACCTAGCCTAAAAGCAGGTGGACTCACACAATGCAAGTAATCATGTTATTCATACATAATGATTAGCAACATTTAGTTGCAGCAGTTTAGCTGTGTTTAGGAAAAGAAGGAAAGTGCTGTGTACAAGGTAAAACTATCTGCAGCTAAACATGCATTGCATTTAGCTGCAGATAGCTGCAGTGTGTTTAGTAGCAAAGCCTTTTCATGCTGTCTGTGTCTTTGGACACAGGCAGCACAGCTGGAGATCGAGCCTGATCCACCATTCATAGAAGCCATAATAATAATAATACATGATCTATGAATGGAGGGCATGGAGCCATCAATCATCCACCCAACCTGTGTCATTCATAGAAGCTGTGATACGGGTTCTATGAGTGGAAGATCAGGCAGGAAAGGATTTCGAGGAGACTAAGAGCTATGGAAGATACTGTTTTGAGATAAAGAGTATATAAACCCAATACTTCATAAATGTGCCTGCTGTACCATGTACACTACTTGTATTAAAAAAGCTCTGTGTATTGTTTTGTTTGTGTGAAATCCCTGGTGTTTCTGCCAATCCCTCTGCTTTCCTATTAAAAACTGACCACACAAAGCAGGGGAGTATGACGTGGTCAGTTCTCTAGTTGTGCTGGGAATTCAGCCTGTTCTCCTCCAATGATCAGACTTGTCCTGACACCTCCCCCCGCACAGCCATTCACTGGGAAGATTAATGTGCTGCTGTTTCTCCTCCTGCCCCACCTGGTATGCATTGAGAACAGAGGGAATGTGATCAGTTATAAAAAAAAAAAACAAAAAACGATGTGTTTATAAGGTTTTTTTATATCTGTACACAAATGTTTGCCTTTCATTTCTGTTTTAAACTGAATGGGTTGTTTTTTTGACAAGGTGAGGGTTTACAGTCACTTTAAGAATACATACTTGAATAGAATATACTTTTTAAACCAGAGTTTAGTGTCAATTTAGGGTTTTATTATTTTTATGGCAATACTGTTGTTTATAAGTATTTATTTTAATATATAGATTCTTGTATTTATGAAATAATTTGTATCAATCCATATATACACTATATGTGTATAAATATTTATACTGTGTGTACAGATTAGCCATAATATTAAGACCACCCACCGTAACTCGTCGAGGCATGGACTCCACTAGACCTCTGATGGTATGCTGTGGAATCTGGCATCAAGCAGTCAGTAGCTCCAAAACACTGGAGGAGAAAAAAAAATCAATTATTCTCTATGGAGTTGGTTCACATCTTAACTCTCACTCAAGTCACCTGAATTCAAATGTCTTAAGCACAATAAAGTTTTGAAGCCTTTTGTAGATCGATTTGGGCAGATTGCTGCATTTTAAAAAAAAAAAATGTTTCCCCCATGCGTTGAAAAGTCGCGATTTGCGCATTTTTTGAGCATTTTCACGTGTTCTGTTGCGAGTTGTAAGTGTTTTTTTCCACTCAAATGCAATAAATAATTAAAAATAAATAATATTACTATTAAAGAAAGAAAATAAATAATAATAATTAATAAATATAAAATAAAATAAATAATTCATAAATACATTAATTACCCCTAATTCTAACCCCTAACAAAAAGACATAAATAATAATTATTAAATAAAATTATAATAAAAATAAATAAATTAAGCCAGCCCCTAAAATAAATAAATAAATAAGTAAATAAATAATATAAATAATAATATTAAATAATACAAATAATAATAATTAAATAAATTAACCCTTAACCCTTAAACAAAAAAAGTTAAAAAGATTAATAAATAAAAGCAGATGAAAAAACTGAAAAACATAGCAACAAAAGATGAAACAGATGACATTTTTCCAAAGCTCAAAAACACTTTAAAATGCTGTACATAAAGGTGCAAAAATGTGTTTTAACGAGTTCATCAATGTTGTTAACTTTCCATATCAGTGATCATAAAGTTATGGCTGATTGGTGTATTTTTTTTTTTTTTTTTTTAAACCAGCGTTTAGTGCCATTGTAGTGTTTTATGATGTATGGTACCTCTGATATTTATAAGTATTGATGATTGTTGTATTTATGAATTATTTTGTATCTATCTATACACAGTGGGTATAGAAAAGAGTCACTCACCTTTAAAGTAATCACATTTTGTTGCTGTGCAGCCTGAAATGAAGATAGGCGCAGTTTTTTTGTTTTATCCAGCAGTATTTTCTCAGTGCAACTTATAACATCCATGTGAAATATATAACACCAACATGTCAGAAAAAAATTTAAAAGATTCAAAAACAAAATCACTGGAAAAAGGATCGCCCCCCTTCCTAAATATAACTTGTAAACTCAATCAGGTGTAGCTAATTACCTTCTCAATTGCACACAAAGCCATTTGACTTTCAACTGTGATCATCTGTGGTCATTTTGATTAGCTCAGCATGAAAAAGAGCTTTCTTGGAACATTTCAGTCCCTGATAGTGCAACTGAAGCAAATAATCAACTATGCCTGGCAAGGCACTCTCAAAAGATCTCCGGGATAAAGTTGTGGACAGGCACAAGTCAGGACATGGATACAAAAGATTTCAAAGGCTTTATCAATGCCTAGAAGCACAGTGAAGTCTATTATTAAGAAGTGGAAGGAGACAGGGGGATTTTGTCTCTACGCTGCTAAGGCGTTTGACAGTGTAGAATGGAGATACCTTTGGCAAGTCCTTGTGAAATTTAACCTACGGGACACCTTCATTTCATGGATTCAGTTATTCTAGAGTGCCCCGTCAGCCAGAATTTGGGTTAATAATGACCTATCCACCTCATTCACACTAGGCAGAGGGACATGACAGGGCTTTCCTCTCTCCCCGCTGTTATTCGCCTTAGCGATAGAACCTCTGGCGGCTGCCATTAGAGAGGATCCGGGTATAGTTGGTTTTTGTAGAGGAGAGCAGATGGAGAAAGTAGCATTATTTGCCAACAACACCCTTCTGTTTTTGGGTGATACATCCGCCTCGTTGACATGCCTTGTAACAGAACCCGGACCCCAGACCACACTTTTCCGTTATACTCCAGTTTCCCTGTCCGAACACAAATCCCCGGACACCACCCGCTGATCATGCAGGAAATAAGACAGCACCCGACTCTACTTAAGACAGGAAGTCAACTCCTTTATTCTTACACACACAAGATATATACACAGGTCGGGGAAACACAACCAGGGACAGGAAACCCCTCATCAGCCCGCCCCATCAGTGGGAAGGGCTACAGGAAACACATCATCAGACCACCCCATCAGTGGGAAGGGATACAGGAAACACCACCCCCCCAACCAAGACACAGAACAATGGGATGCAGCACATGGCAGAGGACAATGGACAGCCACATGGCAGAGAACAAAGGACAACACACCAATACACAATATACATTCACACCCTGTACCCCTTAACAGGCACAGGGTGTGTTAAAGAAAAAACAGGTGGCACACACACCTAGCACACACAAGCTGGTCAATAGCTCTGAGGAAAGAGATTCGTCCCCGAAATGCGTCAGCCATTTGACCGTACTGACAGTGGGAAACAACTTGCCTGCCATTGTGGCCATCGTCATTTTGCAATGCTTTTTAGATATAAGCTTCGTCTGTGAGTATGTTTTTATCTTTCACTCCTTTCAATAAACCTTGGATAATGCACTAGGTGTGTGCGCCACCTGTTTTTTCTTTATCTAGTGGCTGATCTCCCTGTCTGTGGAGGGCTGCACCCCTGAAGCATTTCCTTTGGTTGTTGCTGTCCTGTTTTCCTTGGCTTCCCCTTTGGCTGTGCATATCCTGAGGTGCTGGAGAGTACATATGATATACAGGGGTTCTTATTATGTGTGTTAAATATAAGAATTAGGGAAGATGATACAGGGGTCCCCCCACCCCCAAAAGTCACTCCCCTCACATGCCTAATGACATTAATCAATGAATTTGGCTCCTTCCCCGCTTCTCAATAAATTGGGATAAGTCTACCCTTCTCCTGCTGGACACCCTTATGCATCCCATACCACCTGAAGCTGGGCAGATTGAAATAGTAGACCCACTCTATCAAAATATACAGATCTAAACTTACTTCTGTTAATTAAAAAATGTCAACAGAAAACAACTAGCTGGACTAAACTCCCTCTATCCATGGTAGGGAGGTGTAACTTAATCAAAATGATCTGGGCCCCCACAATTTCTTTATATTCTGCACAATGCCCCTGTTTGGATTCCTATACGGATCTTTAAAAGATTTGATACTGTGTTTTTCTCCTTAATCTGGCAGATGCACACACCTCGGATTAAACTAGAAACTCTACAGGAAGCTATAGATATGGGAAGCCTTGTGGTTCCAAATTCTTTTCTTTATTACATTGCGGCCCAGTTACAACACTTTACAGCCTGGCAGGACAATACACACCCGGATCTGGTCAGTTTGCTACTTCTAGGGATTGTGTCTACAGATAATTTAGTGGAATGCCTGGAATTAGGTGCTTTCAAAGCCCTAGCACAGTTCCCCACTCTGGCACTGATTTACAGAATTTGGAGCAAAGCGAAACGTTATTTCCAATATCAAGGATTTACTACATTCACACATATCCTTAATAACTATAACTACCAGGAGCTTCTTAAACTGAATGGCTTCGCGGCGTGGACAGCTTCGGGTCTTAAATATGTCCCTCAGCTGTACCATGGGCAGTTAATGAAAGACTTTCAAACTTTAAGGGCGGAGTTTGGCTTGCCTAACTCTGTCTTTTTTTCAATATTTACAACTTAAATATGCCATCGTTGCACAAGCCAGGGCTTCATCGTGGGTCTTGGTTAACCCCATTCTTCTTAGTTGACTAGTGCGTTCCCCAACCAAAAAGGGACAGATCTCCTCACTGTATAGTGCATTGATCCAACGGGTATCCAGGGCTATGTCTCTTAATTGTAGACTGCAGTGGTCCTGGGATTTGGAGTATATTTCTGATGAAGAGTGGTCCTCCATTCTTTCTAATATTTTATTGGCATCTGTGTCTTCGTCACAAAAGCTTACCCAGGTTTTCATTCTCCATCACCCCCCCCCCCCAGAGATTATTTGATTGGCACAGGAAGGATACCCCCTTTGCCCACGTTGTGCTATAGAAAATGGAACCCTATTACATATGCTGTGGAAATGCCCTAAATTGGTGCGCTATTGGACATCTGTAATGAAGTTGATTAATAAACATTTCACTCTTGCTCTCCCTGTAGATCCTAAACTCTGCTTAGGTGGTTAGATGAGGAGACCATTGAAAAACTCACATACACAGCTATAAATTATCTTTTATTTATGGCTAGGAAGCTCATAGCACAAAAATGGTTGTCTCCAACCCCCCCGGTCTATGGCTTGTTGGATCAAGGCAGTCAATGATATGTTACACCGGGAAAACTAGTTTACCAACACAGGGGAACTGCGGGCAAATTGATGAAACTATGGGATGCCTGGTTGGGTATGCCAGGCCTGAAACCATTTCACCTAGTGAAGGATAGGCTACTGAGTGGTGGATTGCCCCTTGGGTTGGTATGACACTTGAGAAATCCCCTTGTTAGTAGTACTCACATTATCAAGAACAAGCTACCTGTGTTCCCTTCCACTTGGGCTGAGGTATTTACATTATATAATAATGTCCTTTAATCACTTGCCCTCCTGAGGATTTATCATGCAACGCTGCACCCAAATTAAATTTACGTTCTTTTTTTTTTTCACGAATTGAGCTTTCTTTCCGTGGTATTTGATCGCTGTGCGTTTTTTTTTTCTTTTTTTGCACTATAAGCAAAAAAAAGACCAACAATTTTGAGAAAAAAACCAATATTTTGAACTTTTTGCTATTAAACATGTCCAGTAAAAATATTTAAAAAATCACATTTCATCAAATTTAGGCCAAAATGTATTCTGCTTCATGTCTTTGCTAAAAAAATCCCAATATGTGCACATGAATTGGTTTACATAAAAGTTATAGCATTTACAAATAGCGGTATAGATAATGGGATTTTTTTTTCTACTAGTAATGGTGGCAATCAGCGACTTTTAGCAGGACTACGGCGGACATTCGGACACTGGGGGGGGGAACTAACTTGGTGTCACTTACACCCCAGTGACACCAATACAGTGATCAGTGCTAAAAAAAAAAAGCACTGACACTGTACTAATGGCATTGGGCAGGAAGGGGTTAATGTGAGGGGCAATCAAAGGGTTAACTGTGTGCTGGGAGTGTTTTACTAGGGGGGGGGTGTTCTTCACCAGTGTGCTGTGTGCTCCAGCTGACAGGGAGGAATATTGTTTGCAAACAAAACATTCTTCCTCCCCATTGGGGATGCTCGGTAATCACCGGGCGCTGGCGGGTAATTACCGGCTGGGGTGATTGACATCCGTGGCCACAAATGGCGGCGTGGGTAGGGCACGTGCGTGGCTCGTGTGCGCCCCCTACCCGGAAATGCAAAATGACGTGTACATATGTGATTCTGCGCACAGGTGCCGCCCTGTAACAGTATATCTGCTATAGGGCAGTCCTTAAGCAGTTAATGGCTAATATTCTGTCCAACTCCAAATGGTGCTGAGTGACGCATACCAGCACAGAGACAGTGCTGTCTAAGTGGTTTTTGTATTGCCATGTTTTTTCTTTTTCCTCTTTCAACTTGTCGATACGGTTCAAAACCATTAGTAACATTGTGTGACATGATTGCGCAGGTGGACATATAGTCAGTGTATTATATACCCTGATGGTACAGCCCTGCACAACAATCTAGTGTGTGTTTGATCTGTGACAGAGATTTTGGCAGTTGTCCTTGTTTGTTTTTTTCTGTGATTTCTGTTTTTGATTGTTTTTACTTTTGTACGCGTTTTTGTACAAGAACTGTTATTTTGAAAATGGAAACTTGTTGGTTTTTCTAATAAAAATGATCTGATTTTAAAAAAAAAGAAGTGAAGGTATTTGGATAACACAGACCCTCCCTGGATCAGGACGTCACTCCAAACTAGATGAAAGAGCCAGGAGGAAACTGGTCAGAGAGGTTACCAAGAGGCCTACAGGAACTCTGAAGCAGTTGCAGGAAAATATGACAAAGAATGGTCATTGCGTGTATGTGACATTATCACACATTATCCACAAATGTGGCTTGTATGGGAGGGTTGCAAGAAAAAAAGCTGCTCCTCGAGAAAGGCTACATGCAGTCACAACTGAGCTTCGCCAAAACACACCTTGAAGATTCTCAGGCCACATGGAAAAGCGTGTTCTGGTCAGATGAGACTAAAAATTAATTATTTGGCCTCAATACTAAACGATATGTCCAATACAGCTCACCATCCAAATAACACCATTCCTACAGTACAGCATGGAGGTGGTGATATCCTGTTATGGGGGGTGTCAGGAATGGACTTGCCAGTGGTGGTGGGACTCACCTGCCTTGTGGGCTGCAGTACCAGGGCTGGCCAGCAGGTGTTCTCAGCAACCAGAGGCTCACTCCTGCAATGAGCCATCACCTGAGGCTGATTACAGCAGGTGTATTTAAAGAATGGCCAGGCCTGTGATCAGGGCCTTGGTGTATGTTTCCCATGAGCCCCTGTACCTGCATCCTGTCTGCTTCCGGCCTGATCCTGCTTTAATCCTGACTCTGCATGAACTCTGCCTGTCCTGACCTCGGCTATTCCTGACTATGCTTCCGCCTGCTCCTTGTACCTTGCCTACCCGTTTGCTACCGACCCGGCCTGCCCGACTATGTTTAGTATTGTTCTTATTGTTATCTGTTGGAGGTTTAGTTGCACTGTGTTTATGTATTGTTTAGTCTTTAATAAATTGTATTGTTTATACTATACTTGGAGCCTGTGTTTCCCTGTGTCAGTCCACACATTTCTGGTCATACCCCGGATCCCTAACAGGGGGTTTCTCAGCAGCAGGGACTGGAGCACATCTCAGGATAGAAGAAAAGGTGAATGGGGTAAAATACCATCAAAATCTTGAGGAAAATCTGCTACCCTCTGCCAGAAAGTTGTCACTGGGAAGAAGGTTTACCTTCCAACATCACAATAACCCAAATCACACAGCACAAATGAGCACACAGTGGTTGGAGGGGAAAAAGGTGAATTCCCTGGCATGGCCTAGTCATAGTCCAGACTTCAACCTCATTGAAAATCTGTGGAATGATGAAAACTGCAGTCCGCAAACGGTCACCATCAAATGTAATTGAACCCAGGGGCGGACTGAGAACTCATGGGGCCCCGGGCAATAGGGGATCATGGGGCCCGTGTCCTTGCCCACACTCAAATCACACCCAAAAAAAGACTATAAAAGGTAGCAGGGGCAGTTTATGGGGCCCCCTACTGACCCCGGGCGGTGCCTGAGTGCTCGAATGGTCAGTCCGCCCGACTGAATCTGAGCAATTCTGCATAGAAGAGCGGGCAAATATTGCAAAGTCTAGATGTGCAAAGTTAGTAGAGACATATCCCAACAGACTGAAGGCTGGAATTAAAGCAAAAGGGGTTCAACAAAATACTGACACAAGGGGGATACTTTTTTCCAACTCAGCAATTGTTTTTGAATTTTTATTTTTCTCTGACATGTTGGTGTTACATCTTTCACTTGGATGTTGTAAGTTGCACTGATGTGGATAAAACAAAAACTGTGCCTGTCTTTATTTCACGATGCAAATCAACAAAATGTGATTAAAAAAAAAAAAAAAAAAAAAAAAAAAAAAGGGGGGGGGTTGATTCTTTCCTATACCCACTGTATACAATGTAAAAGGGGCAGGAGGCAAATATAGGGGGGCAGCGAAGTTCCTCTACCCATTGCAAGGGTGAGTGATGGAGTAAGACATCAGAGAGGGCTGGCTGGTGCCTTTTCTCATGAGCCTAGCCTGACCACCAGGAGAACTGCCTCCATGCAGGCTTTCACGGGTCCCTGAGAAGTCACTCCCCTTCCACAGCCTCAGCTCGCATCGATTACCTCGACGCTTTGCAGCCTACAGCGCGGATTGCCGATCTCTGGACTTGACAGGTCTTGCTGACGATTGCCGATAGAAGGGCTGGCGGCCCCGGCAGACCTTTGTGCAGAGCCCAGATGTGATTGTCACGGCGCTTTACCGAGGAATGGAGCGCTCGGAGCGGCTGCAACTACTGGATGTGTCTGGACTGGAGGAGCCACAGCGGGCTCTGCGTGTATTGGAATGGCTCCAGTATTTGAGGATGGAGCTGCCCGTCACAGCTCGGGTAATGAGGGGGCGGGGTGGTGCTGCTGCTATGGTCACCGCACTGTACCGAGGGGACACAACTACAGCCGGGGTCACCGCACTGTACCGAGGGGACACGGCTACAGCCGGGGTCACCGCACTGTACCGAGGGGACACGGCTACAGCCGGGGTCACCGCACTGTACCGAGGGGACACGGCTACAGCCGGGGTCACCGCACTGTACCGAGGGGACACGGCTACAGCCGGGGTCACCGCACTGTACCGAGGGGACACGGCTACAGCCGGGGTCACCGCACTGTACCGAGGGAAAGCGGCTACAGCCGGGGTCACCGCACTGTACCGAGGGGGACGCGGCTACAGCCGGGGTCACCGCACTGTACCGAGGGGACACAACTACAGCCGGGGTCACCGCACTGAACCGAGGGGACACGGCTACAGCCGGGGTCACCGCACTGTACCGAGGGGACACGGCTACAGCCGGGGTCACCGCACTGTACCGAGGGGACGCGGCTACAGCCGGGGTCACCGCACTGTACCGAGGGGACACAACTACAGCCGGGGTCACCGCACTGAACCGAGGGGACACGGCTACAGCCGGGGTCACCGCACTGTACTGAGGGGGCACGGCTACAGCCGGGGTCACCGCACTGAACTGAGGGGACGGGGCTACAGCCGGGGTCACCGGACTGTACTGAGGGGTGTCAACTACAGCCGGGGTCACCGCACTGTACTGAGGGGTGTCAACTACAGCCGGGGTCACCGCACTGTACTGAGGGGACACAACTACAGCCGGGGTCACCGCACTGTACTGCGGGGACACGAATACCAAGGTCACTGCACTGTACTGAGGGGACACAACTGCAGCCGGGGTCACTGCACTGTACTGAGGGGATACAGCTACAGCTGGGGTCACTGCACTGTACTGAGGGCATAAAGCTACAGCCGGGGTCACCGCACTGTACTGAGGGGACACAATTGGTGTGTGACTGCTGTGATCCTGCCCCTATCGTGTGCTGGGAAGTTTATGACAAGCTGACAGGAGTCATCAACCTGTATCCTCCTACACTGAGCACATCACCTGCAGTTTGAACTGTCTGTGATGATCAGTAATGATGGACATGCAGTTTACTGTTTTTGATCAGCTGAAAATAAGATACTTGGAGCTGAACAATGATCTGTGAAACACTTCTGAAAAGTGATTTGAACATGGGTGATTTTTCAGATGAGGTTGACAGGCAAGGAGGAAGTAATATGTCACCTCCTCACTTTGTGTTGTAACCCCCTAAATGCCACACTACTTTGCTGCGACCGCATGCATAGATTAAAAGATATGTCATCAGCACACCAGAGATCTCGAAGAAAACATCCAAAATTTTATTAAAGAAGTATGGCCAAAGCTATTTTGTTTGTACTTCTATGGATCATGGGAGAGCAGTTAGTTCTGCATTCCTGTGACCTGTTTTCAGCTAAAGTCCACTGTCGGTTGACGTCACTCAGCTGGTCCAGGTTCTGAAAAGATCCCAACCGTATGGTCATAGGTGTGTGCATGGGTTGTGCCAGGTGTGCCTGGGCACACCATAATCACCCATAGTTGCCAGCTTTTCTGAATGACATTCACATTGAGGATGAAGCTCCTCCCCCTACCTCCTTCTCTAGCAGTTTCAGGCATTTCTGGCTCTCGTGGAGGCCTGGAAGAACTACCCCAAGGTGGAGCCTGCCTCTCCTCTGTGTTTACTAGTACTGCAGATAAGTTTGGATGGGGATGCTCCTGGTCTTAGAGATCGCACCCAGCCTGCCTTCTTCTGGTGGTGTATGTATGTATATATACATACATACACAATCATGTGTGTTTGAGCTTTGGTGTGCACACCCTAATGCTATAGGCTGCACACACCTATGCTTATGGTCGGGATCCACACGGAAGCCTAGACTGGTACCTGGCTTAGCCTCTCAGCTATCCGCCAAGAGCCTAAGCCAGCTTCTCACATCCCCCACCCCCCAGCCCTGTGCTCCAGTGAGCCCTGGAGGGGCAGAGCAGGGATCCTGAGACTGACAGCCACCGCTGTCTGTTCAGAGTGGAGGGGTGAACTCAGCCATCAGAAGTCTTTGAGCGCTCAGTTTTCGGTACAGAGCCCGCGTAGGACAAATGCAGCATCAGATCAATGCTGCAACCACCTAGGTGAGTTAACATTTTTTTTTTTTTACAGAAAGCAATATTTCTCTTTTAAACAATCACACAACGTAAAGTAGGATGTTTTAGGG